ATGGGTTAATAAGTGGCTTTGTGAACACTGCTTATCTGTGTATAAAAAATTTAAGCTGGATTCCTATCTCATACCATACATAAATTAATACCAGATAAATTAAAATTTTGAATGTGAAACCAAAACTTTAAGACTTTAAAAAGAAAATGTAGTTGAATATATTTGTAAAATTGAGTTAGGGAAAGATTTCTTAAAGATTCCAAAAGCATAATGCATAAGTGAAAAAAAATCTTCCACAGTAAGAACTTCTGTTAACCAAAGAAAACAGATAAAATAAGAAGATAAGCTATTTGATATTTTGCAACGTATACATCAGATAAAAGACTAATATCTAGAACATACCCAGACACACACACACGCACACACACACACATATATATAACCTTTTTTTATATAAATCAACACGAAAGAGATAAACAACTTGATAAATAAATAGGTGAGCAAGAAATTTAGAAAAGAAAACACATTTTCTAATGAACATATGTAAAGACTCTCAATCTTAGTCACCAGAGAAGTTAAAACCACACTGGAATATCATGTAGTACATGTTAGATGTGCAAAATTTAAAAATCAGACAATAAAAAAATGTTGAAGAGGAAGTAAAGCAACAGGAACTCTTACTGCTGGAGGAAATGTAAATTAGTACTATCATTTTGGAAAATTATCGAACATCTATTAAGGTTGAAAATGCACATACTTAATGACTCAGCAATTCCATTCCTGGGATATACCTTAGCGAAAACCTTGCACATATGTGCAGGGAAATATATTAAAAATTTCATAAGAGCTTTGCTTAAAATAACAGAAAAATCTGTAAATAATCTAATTGTTCATTGACACAGATCCAACAACAGCAATAACTTATTTATTGTAACACTAAGAAGTGAAAAAAACTGAACCTCAGGTATATGCATTTACATAGATAAAACCCATGAGCATAATATGATTGGAAATAGCAAGTTACAGAAAAATGTATATATTATAATATTTATATAAAATTTACAGACATGCAAAACTGAGCAATATAGGCATCTCTCTCTTATTATCAATGACTTGAGCTGGATTTCTTTTACTTGTACCGAAAGGAACCCTAACTAGTGTGTTTGGCGTTTGAAGAAAGAGGGAGATGAAGAGAGATGTCTGGAGAGCTCTTATAATCTTAGACAGGGAGCCACGAGGCCAGGAGAAACTCCAAAGGCTGTTAACATAAATTTGTAAATATTCAGAGGCTGGCAAGAGAGATGTCCCAACAAGGTCAGAGATAGGAATGGGAGGCATGAGAAAGGAAAGATGCTGAATTGAAAGGAGGTATGTCTCTGCAGCCTGACTTGCCCCTTTTCATAATTTCGCTACTGCAGAAATGCATTTCATCTCTATTTATGTCGTGTGAGGGCAGAGGGTGGGGGTAGCAGTGGGAATAGAAAGGTAGCGTGGGTTTTATGTGGGTCTGGCTTTTGATCTTGATTGTTCTGTTAGTGAAAGCTGAGCTGTAAGAACAGGAAGTAACCTTTCTAGTATATTTGGCAGTGATAAGGTCTTAGATCATCAAGTCCTGCTCTAGTTTGAGAGAAGCACAACTGACAAGGGATACAGAAATTAGAGAGAGTCCAGAGGCAATCAACAAAAATGATGAAGTGGTTGAAAAATAGGACCTCTGAGGAAAGGTTAAAGGAACTGGGCTTTTTAACCTGGAGAAGAGGAAACCCAAGGGTGATATAATTTGGGGAATATGAATGGTTATTGTAAGGATGATGGAGACCAGCTGTTCTTCCTGATCACGAAGGATCAAACTGCAGGTGAACTGAAACTGCAGCAAGAGGGATTTATGCTAGTTAGCGGGAAGAACTTCACAGCATGTCAGAAAGTTAAGCTCTATCTCCAGTTATTAAAATAACTTAAAACTGCCTGCTTTGTAAGGCTTTCTGAACAGGATAGTTTAGGGATCTGATGAGCTCTGCAGGTACCTCTACCATTATTCTGTTTCTATTCTAAATTTCCAGGCTTTAATAAAAGTTTTGCTTCCTACTAATTCCTAATAGTTTAAGGTAGTAATTGGAGACTATGTCACATTCTTAGCATATATTTGGCACAACTGAAAGAAAGAAGGGTTTGAACCTTACGCAGTTCTATTCTCAATGTCAAAGCAAATATTTGTGTTCGTGAGATATTAAATGGTACCTGAAATTAAAGATAACTATGACTTGAATAGAAAATGGTTTGTGTAATATTGAAGAGGAAATGATAAAATGCTGCTTTTGTTTGGAACCAACATAGAATTTTCCTTGGTAAAACACAATGTAAAAATATTGTAAAAGCATTCCCATTTCCTAATTTGAGGTATGTAAGAAAAATCCCACATGGAAACATCTTATTTCAAGCAGGTAGTATCTGGCATTTTAGCATTTTCCATGTCAGAAACACAACATTTATTGCTCTTCTCTGTGGGTTAGAGAAAAGAATCTTAATCACAGCCTTACACAAAGAGTATTCCTGGAATATTATTAAAGATGGTTTTCATATCCATTTTGGACACCAATGGGATACTCTGGATTGTTTCTGATGTCCCATATAAGAACCTGGAGGTATTGTGAAGCTCTCACATACTTGAGTTGAGACATTGCTTAGAGGAAATCTCTTAGGGAAGATGAGAGACCACTATAGTCAAGGAGATACTGATGGTCTTATGTCTTTGCTCTTTGCAGGACTGGCATTTGATCTTCATTGTTCTGTTAGCAGGAGCCAATGTGTAAGAACAAGAAATAATCCTTCTAGTAAATTTGGCAGTGGTAGGAACAGCCCTGGATGGAATAGCCATGCCACTGGCTAGGAAATCATGCTTCTTGGAGAAGTTCACCTTTCTCTCCTCAGCATGAGTCAACCCAATGAATAAAGGGTTAGAATCCCCATGATCTCCTCAACGTTTTTGAAAAAGTATTGTTTATTAAACTGAAGGGGAGAAGTATAATATATTCTCGCAGTAAAATCTGTTAGGGTTTAGGATCCAAGAACTTCAAATAGTGGTTCAGGCTAACTGCAGAGACTAAGCAGTTACCTATCCTTAAAATACCAAGTTAAAAAACCAGATTAAAGATAGAGGGAAACCATTGATAACCCATTTTAATCAAAACAGGAAATTCTTATAAAATATTGGGTTGGCCAAAAAGTTCGTTTGGGTTTTTCCATAAGATGTTACAGAATAACATCTTTCTACCTTGCAATGTGATCTTGCTTTAACTGACATATTACAGTATGACAAACAAGGCTTGCTGCTTATATAGTCTTCACCTTATATAGACTCCAAGATGATGCTAGACTATCCCAAGTTCTTCAAGGAACTGTGGATAAAACCATAGCCACGGGCTTCCCTGGTGGCGCAGTGGTTGAGAGTCCGCCTGCCGATGCAGGGGACACGGGTTCATGCCCCGGTCCGGGAAGATCCCACATGCTGCGGAGCGGCTGGGCCCGTGAGCCATGGCCGCTGAGCCTGCGTGTCCGGAGCCTGTGCTCCCCAACGGGAGAGGCCACAACAGTGAGAGGCCTGCGTACCGCCAAAAAACCCCCAAAAAAACCCAAGGCCACTATTTAAACCATAGCCATAGCCAGCCTCCTTGTGTGCATTATTCAGTTTAATCTTTACAACACTTAAGATAGAAATTATTACCGTACAGAGGGAAAAAAATATCATGGCTCAGAAGGATGAAGTCCTTTGCTCAAGTCATTTGGATGATAAAGGAGGGATCCAAGATTTAAATCTTTGTCAGTCTGAAACCAGGCCATTGCTTTTTTCTTTTTGACCCACTTTCCAAGGAACTAATGTAGAAAGTTCATTTCCAGAATAAAAGCTGCAAGCAGGATTCTGGCCTTACAAAGTACGGGTAGATGTGGGTTCTCCAATGTAACAGCCCCCTAGAGATTCATAGAAGCGTTGGGTGTTCATTTATACTCTGCTACCACACCTATAAGACGTGTAAGTGTTTCATGCTACACAGAAGAGAATCCAGATACTGATATTGAGTCAAATGCCTTCCTGAAGTTCTCATGGAGTACTTGACATGTGCTGGAGTTAGGAGCTAGGCAGGATTCCTTTTATAATTGCAGATTCAGAAATAGCCTCATCTTTTTCTCTACTGCTGTGGTGCATTTATTCTTTCCCAGGCACATTAGATTTTGCATGGAGGACAAAAGAATTGTGAAAGGGCTTTTCGCTGTCTCCACCCACAAATGACTCAGTTAACTTTTCAGAATTAGTCCCTGGTCCTGCCTAACTGCAAGGCTGCTGGGAAATACCTTGTTTCTTGTGTCCTGGGAGGAAGAATATGAAATGTGATTTGATACACATTTTCTCTACCACAGTATCCAAAAGTTTAGGTGATATGATTTCTATTTGACAGGGGCATTCTGGAAGAAGAGAAACATTTTCCAAAACTCAAGGGCTTGTTTTTCTTGCTTAGTGCCAATTAGGTTTGAGTCAATTTATTGTTTGTTTTGCTGAACCACGTGGAGGTGTCACAACAGTGTATTTCAGCCCAGAAATGGGCTTTTGGGGGAAAGGAAAGTTAATAGTTTGAGAAGCATCACATTCTGGGCTCCTCACACAGTGGGTCCTTGTGTTGGCCACTGTCCCAAAGAATCATCCCCTGAAATGTTCCTAGAGACAGATTGACTCTCCCTATAGCTTTTTCTAGGGGGAAAATGTTAATAAAAAGATCAGAAAGTGTTTTCTTTGTTTTCCCCTTCCTGTTTGCACCACTTCTTTTCCTTTTAGCTCATCACTGACTGCTCAAATGCAGAATACCCCTCGAAGCTTCAGTCGCCCAGGACCAGCCACCCAGGCCAATGCTCTCTAGCAATAATACCATCAGACTTCTCATCTTCTCCCTTTCCCACATCAAACATTAGAGCTTTTTACCTATTCTGCAAGCTGCTCACTGGAAAGACTAGCAAATTTGATGTGTTAATTTTAGTTGCTGTTAATGGCTCAATGTTTTATCCCCTTGCAGATGCGTGTGCATTAAAAAACTGGAATCTTAGGGAAGTGATGCCTCTTATCCAAGGTCTCCAATGGTGGGTGATCAGGAATCATGTCATGGTAGGTTCACAGAAGAACAGTCAGACAGAGTCTTTCTATGATGCCTCTCAAAATTATTCATTTTTAAAGTTTTGGCTTATTATTTTGTCTGAATATATTCAGTATCATTCATTTATTTATTCCAATATTTATCATTTATTCATACAATATTTATGTTTTACATACCATCTATGGGGCACTGTATTAGTATCTGGGAGTGAAATAAAACTTGACTACTCTTTTCAAGGAAGTTCTGGTTAGAAATGAGAGGCTGAAATATACAGATACTGCCATTAAATGCTTTCTTTTTTTAAAAGCTTTGTTGAGGTATAATTTACATATAATAAAATGTAACCATTGAAAATATATAATAGTTTGATGAATTTTCACAAACTTACACATTCGTGTAACTACACTACAGTCATAGAATATTTCCATCACCTCAAAAACTGTCGTGTTTACCACCACCCAGTGCTGATTCCATGCCCCCAGCAACTACTGATCTTTCTGTGTTCGTAGATTAATTTTGCCTGTTCAAGTATTTCATGTAAATTAACCATACAGTGGGTACTCTTTAGCATCTTACTGTTTTGCTCAGAATAATGTTTTTGAGATTCATTTATGTTGTTGCAGGTCTCAGTAATTTATTCCATTTTATTGCTGAGTAGTGTTTTCACTGTAAGGAATGACACAGTTTGTTTATCAACTTATCTCTTGATGGGAACTTGAGTTGTTTCCAGTTTTAGACTCTAAGGAATAAAGCTACTGTGCATACCAGACTTTATGTAGATGTATGTTTTAATTTCTCTTAGGTGTAAAACTGCTGCATCATGGTGAATGTATATTTAAAAGAAACTGACAAAATGACTTCCAAAGTGATTGGACTTACCATTTTATATTCCCACCAGTAATATAAGAGAGTTTCAGTCACTGAATGTTTTGCCAACACTTGAAATAGTCAATCCTTTTCATTTTAAGCATTTTAGTCAGTATGTAGTGGTACTTAATTATGATTTTAATTTGCCTTTCCCTAATGACTAGTGATGTTGAACATCTTATCATCTCTTTATTAGTCTTTCATATATCTTCTCTGATAAGTGACTTTAGATCTTTTGCCATTTTTGTAGGGTTCTTTTCTTACTTAATATTGAGTTGTACAAGTTCCTATACACTTACATTATTGGTCCCAAATTCTTTGTCATATCATGCAATACAAATAATACAAAAAAATTCTCCCAGTGTGTGCCTTGCTTTTTCATTTTATTAATAATGTCTTTCAAAGGTCAGAAGTTTTTAACTTTTACAAGTCAGTTGATAAAATTTTTTTATGGTTCATGTTTTTGGTGCCTATTCTAAGAAATCTTTGCCTGCCCCCAAGTCAGGAAGTTTTATGTTTTCTTCCATAAGTTTTATAGTTTTAGCATTTACATTTAGATCAATTTCAAATTAAATTTTTAGTATGGGATGAGGCAAGGAAAAGTTATTTTTGTAAAATGGATATCTAGTTTCAGCAAAATTTGTTGAAAGAAATAATTCCCCTTTGATTATCTTGACACCATTGTCAAAAATCAGTTGATTGAAAAGAGACCACAGTGTTCATTGCAGCACTATTTACAATCACCAGGACATGGAAGCAACATAAGTGTCCATCAACAAATGAATGGATAAAGAAGATGTGGCACATATATACAGTTGAATATTACTCAGCCATAAAAAGAAATGAAATTGAGTTATTTGTAGTGAGATGGATGAACCTAGAGTCTGTCATACAGAGTGAAGTAAGTCAGAAAGAGAAAAACAAATACCATATGCTAACACATATATATGGAATCTAAAAAAAAAAAAAAAAATTGGTTCTGAAGAACCTAGGGGCAGGGCAGGAATAAAGACACAGACGTAGAGAATGGACTTGAGGACATGGGGAGGGGGACGGGTAAGCTAGGACGCAGTGAGAGAGTGGCATGGACATATATACACTACCAAATGTAAAATAGATAGCTAGTGGGAAGCAGCCGCATAGCACAAGGAGATCAGCTCAGTGCTTTGTGACCACCTAGAGGGATGGATAGGGAGGGTGTGAGGGAGACGCAAGAGGGAGGAGGTATGGGACATATGTATATGTATAACTGATTCACTTCGTTATGCAGCAGAAACTAACACACCATTGTAAAGCAGTTATACTCCAATAAAGATGTTAGTGGGCTTCCCTGGTGGCGCAGTGGTTGAGAGTCTGCCTGCCGATGCAGGGAACACGGTTCGTGCCCCGGTCCGGGAAGATCCCACATGCCGCGGAGCGGCTGGGCCCGTGAGCCATGGCCGCTGAGCCTGCGTGTCCGGAGCCTGTGCTCTGCAACGGGAGAGGCCACAACAGTGAGAGGCCTGCGTACCGCAAAAAACAAACAAACAAACAAACAAAAAATATGTTAAAAAAAAAATAACCTGTTAGTAAATAGCATTGACAAGAACAATGAGCCTGCTTATAATGAGGCTGTTAATGAAGATGTTGCTATTAACACCCCCTCCCCACCACTGTGCTTCTGATGTTTGAGAATATCTGCCCAAATCAGAAGAGGCAAAGTGCAGCACTGGGCTCTTCCTCACCCTGTTAGCAAGGCTTGCTGTTTCCCCTACAGCACTACGCCAAACTTTTAGAATCATTCTAAGAGTTTGGTGATGAGCACGTTTCATCATGCAGTGAGATGTCCTGTGTTGGCCTATGTTGCCTTTGGTTTGTTCACACAGATGTGTCCAGTTGCTAGGAGCCATGTGAAGACTGGACAAACATTTGTGGTCATGCACTTCTCAGACAGCTCATTTCATCTCAGTCATCTGCTTGAGCATCCTGTAGAGAGCAGGAGCCAGCAGCAACCTCAGGTACCACTTATGATCCAATTCTCTTATGTTACACGTGAGGAAGCTTAGATATACCCAAGGTCTGGCACCCAGGTGGTGGGAGAGCCTGAAGGAGAATCTAGCCCCCCCAACCAAAAAAAAAATCAGTTGATTGTATATGTGTGTGTTTATTTCTGGACTTTCCATTTTTCTCCATTGATCTATATTATAATTGTATATCTATACCACCATTAACACATTGTCTTCATTACTATAGTTTTCTGTCGTCTTGAAATTTAGTAGTGTTGCTCCTAATTTTGTTTTTCTTTTCCTAAATATTTTGGCTAGTCTAGGATTTTTACATGTCCATATAATTATTAGAAGAAAGTTGTCAGTTTCTAGAAATAAGGCTTTTGGGAATTTCATTTGAATTCCATTAATCTTTAATGGATTAATCTGGGGGATAATTTTTACTTTAACAATATTGATACTTCTAATTTATGAACATTATATATTTCTTCATTTATTTAGGTCATGTTTAATTTTTCTCAGCAATTTTGTGTACATATTTAAATTTATCACCAAATACTCCGTATTTATAATAATGCCATCTCTTTCATTCCTGATATAGTTATAGTTTGTGTTCTCTCTTTTCTTGATCAGTCTTTATAGAGGATTATCAATCTTATTGACCTTTTTAAAAGACCAGCTTTTAGTTTAGTTCAGTTTAGCTCTGGGTCATAATCTGAAGCGAGACTTTTAATTATCGACAAAGCATCTTGTATTGGTTCCCCATATCTGCATTTCCCCTGGGGCAAAACAATGAAGGCAGTTGTCATTTTTGCACACAATGCACAAGAGAAGAACTCTGTTTTGGAGCTTATATAGGGCAGATGACATCCGTTCCTCCCCCTTCCCAGGAGAACAAGAAAGAGAGGAAGAGAAAGGGAGGGAGAGAGAGAGGGAGACTTTAACTCTGTAAAGGAATTTTCTTTGAGGGTGGGGGGAGTAAAGGCTCTAAACTTTTATTGTTCTTTGGAACGTAAACAGACGTCTCTAGGGGAGATATCTCTACATCTTTTGGGAAGTCTCTTTTTTTTTTTATCTTTATTGGAGTATAATTGCTTTACAATGGTGTGTTAGTTTCTGCTTTATAACAAAGTGAATCAGTTATACACATACATAAGTTCCCATATCTCTTCCCTCTTGCATCTCCCTCCCTCCCACCCTCCCTATCCCACCCCTCCAGGCGGTCACAAAGCACCGAGCTGATCTCCCTGTGCTATGTGGCTGCTTCCCACTAGCTATCTACCTTACGTTTGGTAGTGTTTATATGTCCATGCCTCTCTCTCGCTTTGTCACAGCTTACCCTTCCCCCTCCCCATATCCTCAAGTCCATTCTCTAGTAGGTCTGTGTCTTTATTCCTGTCTCACCCCTAGGTTCTTCATGACATTTTTTTTTTTTCTTAAATTCCATATATATGTGTTAGCATATGGTATTTTCACTGCTGGTGGGAATGTGAATTGGTACAGCCACTATGGAGAACAGTATGGTGGTTCCTTAAAAAACTACAAATAGAACTACCATATGACCCAGCAATCCCACTACTGGGCATATACCCTGAGAAAACCATAATTCAAAAAGAGTCATGTACCAAAATGTTCATTGCAGCTCTATTTACAATAGCCCGAAGATGGAAACAACCTAAGTGTCCATCATCGGATGAATGGATAAAGAAGAGGTGGCACGTATATACAATAGAATATTACTCAGCCATAAAAAGAAACGAAATTGAGCTATTTGTAATGAGGTGAATAGACCTAGAGTCTGTCATACAGAGTGAAGTAAGTCAGCAAGAGATAGGAAGTCTCTTTCTTTAAGGGTTGCTATTCAATCATCTTTTAACCCTGGTGTTAGTTCTCTTTGCTCAGAAAGTCCTCAGTGTACATACATTTGAAAATAGTCGTAGAGTGTCATTTCCTAACACCGTCCCTCTACTTACTTTGTTTTGATTTATTTTTCTTTTTCTAGCTTAAGGCAGAAGCTTAGATAATTATTTTTAAAACTTTTTCTTTTTTTAAACATGTGAAGCTATAAATATTGCCTTAAGCACTACCCTAGATGTAAATGTTGTTGTCTTTTAATTATTATTCAATTCAAAGTATTTTCTAATATCTCTTGAGATTTGACACATGGGTTATTTAAAATTGTGTTGTTTAATTTTCAAATATTCAAGAATTTCCCAAATATCCTATTGTTATTCCTTTCTGGTTTAGTTCAGTTGTGGTCAAGAATATACTCTGTATAATTTCAATAGTTACAAATTTATTGAAACTTGGCTTAGAGCCCAACATATGGTTTTGTATAGTTAAAGTTCAATGTACACTTAAAAGTAATGTGTATTCTTTAGTAGTTAGGTGGAATATTCTATAAATGTCATTTAGGTCAAACTGATAATGTAGTTCTGATCTTCTATATATTTACCAATTTTCTGTCTGCTAGTTCTACGAATTACTGAGAGGGGAGTATTGAAATCTTTAACAATAATTGGGTTTTGTCTATTTCTTCTTGCAGTTTTTTTTTTTTTTTTTTAGCTTTTCTTTATATATTTTTGAAGCTCTCTTTTTAAGTACATACAGATTTGGGATATTTAAGTCTTCTGTATGTATTGACTCTTTTCATCATTCTGAACTCTCTGTATCCCTGAAAATAGTCTCTTTCATCAAGTTTATTCTGTAGACTTCATAAAAAGAAATCTATTTAGAGATTTTAAAAATATTATTCACAGATGTTAGCATAGACATTCCAATTTTCTTCTGACTGATGTTAGCATAGTATATATTTTTCTATGCTTTTACTTTTAACATGTATGTATCTCTATATTTCAAGTAGCTTTTTTGTAGACAGAATATAATTGGGTCTTGCTATATTATCCAAAAGGACAATCTCTGCCTTTTAATTGGAGTGTTTCACTCACTCATATTTAATGCAGTTATGATACTCTTGAGTTGAAATCTATCCTTTTGCTATTTATTTTTTCCATTTTTTTGTTCCTTTTGACCTTTTTTCCTTCTCCCATCCAAATACTAACCAGCCCTGACCCTGCTTAGCTTCCAAGATCGGAAGAGGTCAGGCAAGTTCAGGGTGGTATGGCTATAGATGTTTTTTTCCTTCTTTTTAAAAATTAATTTAGTATTTTTTGTAGGGTTTTTTTTAAGTATTCCATTTTATTTCCATTATTTTGGCTTATTGGCTATATCTCTGTGCTTTATATTTTTAATAGATTCTCTAGAATTTTCGATATGCATTTTTAATCTATCACAATCTAGCTCAGTAGTTGATAACTTGTTTTCAGTAAAGGACCAAATAGAAAATATTTTAGCTTCATGGGCCACATAAGTTCTCTGTCATGAATTCTCTTTTTTTTACCCTTTAAAAATATAAAAAAGAAATGTTTAACTTGTGGGCCTTA